GTGAGGGCTCCAATCTATAAGTCATGGCAGTTTACTTCTGAGACACAAATTGCCTTGGTAACTTGCTGTGTCAAGAAACGACTTTTGTATGGCTGCCCCCAAAGGAAGAGTTCTAGTGGGCTGAGATGCCAAAGGCAGCAGGAATATGGACGAAACTGGCTCTGGGTGAATGGTTCTGGCTTCCCCATTGCTCAGATCCTCTGCCAGGGCAGCATATTGGAAGTCTTGACTTTTCATTGCAAAATAACTCTGGTAATTTCATACAGAAACTGTATTTGTTTATTTTTTATTGTTCTCAGTAAGAGGTGGTTGGTTAGAGTGGGACAGAATTAGTAACTGATGGTCACTGGGCTCTGTGACTGTGGCTCTCACAGATGCACTTGGTGGTATAATCTGCAGCATCGGAGATTTCAACTCCCTGCTTCCAGAAATTCCTATGCCAAGCCATTGGACACAACTTCCGGCTTCTTCCGATGGCCATTATTCTCATCCTTTTTGCCCTATTTCTCTCCTGCATATATTTTCTCCCATTCTTGTTTTGTGTAAGAGATCAGCTACAGTGGTTTATGGGAACATCTGTGAGATGTTAAGAAACTTCTGGAAACTCTAGTGCAGGGTGGCCCACAGCTCATCCAGAGCCAAGCTTTGACCACATATGAACCTCACTTTTAGGGCTTCCACTCTATTATAAATTAAAAATCATCTCTGTATGGTCAATACTTTGACATAAATATAATCCCATGAGCCATGATAGAATAAAATAATTAAATTCTATATTTCTAATTAATATTACTATTTACTAATTAGGGATTACTTTTGTTCTCCAAACACAAAGACAATGTTTTAATTGTTTTGCCATTCTAACAAATGTAAATATTTTATGAACAGATTAATTCGTTTGCCCAGATGTTTGCATTTCTTGGGAATTTAGATTATTACACAATGCAGTTTTCTAACAAATTGAACCCATCTCCAAGTTAGGTTGTAAGCTTGGGTATGTGGGAGAGTCTGCTAGGTCCTATCCTTTTGTCCCGCCTGGTTTTTGTTAGTCTTCTCTTGCAATTAGTGATAGTATCTATTTTCTGAACAATTAAAAATTAGAGTTATCCTCTGATCAACTTAGTGGTAGCATTTCTTCAATATTACCATTTGCCAGGCCTCTATGTGTGAAGACCAAGAAGGCAGCTGGCATTCATCTGCTTTCTTTGGTTCCTTCTGCTCTACATTTTATATTCTCAGATTGTGTGATTTGGTGGTGTCACTCATACGTGAGTGTGTGTGGGAGTTTCTGTGTGTGAGAGGAGTTTCTCTTCATGCTTCGGTTGATTTCTTCTTAACGTCACATATGACTCCAGACATAACCCATTTTTTGATTAAGATCTGTAAATGCCTCAGCAGCAGTAGTTATTTGGGGACTACATCCAGCCTCCCCGAGAATGTTATTTAGGGCACAGAGTGTTCCTCAGGGGTGCCAATGGCATTCTGACAAGAGCTGAGCGCATGTTGGGAACTGGTAAGAAGCAGGTAAAGTGTGACTAGGGTGTGGGGGGCTCTGACTGCTGAACAGGGAGGCAGTGAGAGACAGGTGGGGGCCATTTCTGAGAGATATTGGAGCAAAGTTAAAGAGAGGTTGGAGGAAGAAACTCGGACGATATGGAGACCAATGAAGAAAATTCTGGGCTCGGTGCCATGGCTCAGGCCTATAATCCCAGCTACATGGGAGGTGGAGACTGGGAGTATCATGGTTTGAGGTCAGCCCAGGCAAAAAGTTAGGAGAACTCATCTCAACGACAAATTGGGCATGTTGGGAAATATCTGTGATCTCAGCTATGGGAGAAGTGTAGGTAGGAGGATTGTAGTCGAGGCAAAAATGCGAGACTCTGCCTGAACAAAAGTAACTAAAGCAAAAAAATGCTGGGGGCATGGCTCAAGTAGTAAAGTGCCTGCCTAGCAAATAAGCTCAAGACTCTGAGTTCAATCCCAAGTACTGTGTCCTTCCCCTCCCCCGAAGAGAAACTTCTGGAAACTCGGGTGTGGAGTGACCCCTTCCATGCCCACAGACCACCCAGAGCCACTCAGCCGGGCTTCTCTGGTTCATAAGAGCTGAGAAAGAGCACACTGCTTTTCAGTTGTGCTTCCCATCACACTGAGTGATGAGATGGTTGCAGAACAGTCCCTTTCTAAGTGGGGAAGAAAGGGAACCCAGATTAACAGAGAGGACATTCCATCACACACTGTCCTCTTCTTGTGACACTACTACTGTTGACTCAGCAAGTGTAGCTCACTCTGTCCACCTCCACCCCCACTGACTGTGACATAAGGGACTCAGTGCCATACTCTCTGTCTGGACACACCTTACAATTGAGCACAAAACCAGTATGATTGCAAACACAACAATATGTGTGACATCAACTTTCTTTGAATAGCCTAGCAGACATGTTTCACCATTCTTTCAATTTAATTCTTTTAATTGGGGGGAAGATAGAGAACGCTCATGTGTCTGTCTTTTTAGTAGAATGTTCTCCAAGTCTTACAATACCAGGAAGGATTTCTCTCAACTGTTCTGCGTAGAAGTGAAAGAAACAGCAACATAATGATCTCTTGATCCAGAGACAAGGATGACAGAAGGACAGAAATAATCCCTAAATACTCTGGGCCTTTTGCCTCACTTCAGGGTTTCTCTTTTCTCCTCTGGAAGAAGACTGAGATGACTAAAGAATATTGTTTTAACCTAAAAAGTTTACGTTCTAAAATTAATGTTGGTTCAGTGGCTCATAATAACATGCAGAGAGACAGGAATCACACAACCATATTCCTGTGATGTAAATAAAAACCAAAAACATCATAGTCAAACTGTCCACATTATTTACCACCACAATAAAATACATGAAGTATGGGATTCCCCAAATGGAAGAACCATACGGTCAGAGACAGACCTGTTAATTTCTGGCCATTGCTCTATGAATGTAAAACATAGTTTTATTTTGGTTTTTAACAGATTTGGAAATATTCCAGATAATCTGACTGAAAAAGTCACAGTGGGACAAGTGTGGTGCCTCATGCCTGTAATTCTAGCTACTCAGGAGGCAGCGATCAGGAGGATGAAGGTTGGAAGCCAGCCCAGGCAAATAGTTAGCAAGACCCTGTCTTGAAAAAACCCATTGCATAAAGGGATGGTGGAGGGGCTCAAGTGGTAGAGTGCCTGTCTAGCAAGTGTGAGGCCCTGAATTCAAACCCTAGCACCACCAAATAAATAAGTAAATAGTCACTGTGGAACAGAAAAGAAGTTTAGTGTGGCGATTGTCAGTAGCACTTTAAAGAGACAAGCAGGGTTCCTTCCCAGAAACCTCCCACACTGAGAAACTGCTTTCCACACAGTCAGAGCTCTGTACTATGCTTCAGAGTGAACAGCAGCAGGAATTAGTAATTCAGAGATGGTTAATTATTGGCTTGAACAAAGTTAACTAGTTCAGTTGACTAGTGCCTGGATAGGAATAATCAGTGTTTTATACTCCACACCATGACTCTTGGTCAAAATTTGACTAAGAGCCATGTTAACATTTACAAATCTATCATTAAAAAGTGAGGTCATGAGAAAGCCAAGGGTTGAGTATACATGGTAACTCACAAATGAGAAATTAAGAGTTTGTAAAAGAAAAAAGTAAGTTCTGTAGCATATGCTAAACATTTAAAACTAATTACACATTTCCAACATTGCATCCATTCAATTCAAATAGAAAACATGTGAATTCATGTGGAAAGAAATGGTAAGTAATTTTTTTGAAAAATTCATTGTCTGATTTCTCTAATTTTGCAGACAGTATGTGCTATAATTTTGAAAGAATTTTGTGTATTACACTTAAAATTTTAATTGATGTTTTCATCTTTATTGCTAGACTACCTATTTTTCTGGTAGGCTAGTATAATTTTAGCACAGTTCAAGTACGTCTATTGGAAACTGACAATCTTCTTCCTAGAATTCAAAACTTGTCATTTAAAGTAGTATTCAGAATATTGACACCCACAATAGTTTTTTTCTATGGTTAGTCCAAGAAGAAGAAAAAAAGAAAAAAAAAAAAGGTTAAGAAAGGTGGTTTCTATAGGATTAATATAAAGACATTTCACAAAGTGTGGAATAAGTCATGCAATTTCATTTGAATTTTAGTACACTTAAATTCTTGCAGTAATCTCCCTTTCACAGTACTGTACTAAGTTTGGACTACGTCATTCTTTTTGGCTTTGGTTTGTTTTGGTTCCGAATCATCTCTAAAGCAAGGTGATTCCATGGTTGGAAAGTTATTGTCTCCCAGGGAGGCTATAACTTTTCTTATTTGTCTGGTCCTTGTTGCCTAATATAACGGTGGGCATCCAGTGGGCACGCAATAACTGCAAACTAAACAATAATGAAGTAGATATCAGAAGCCAAGGCCTATTTTCAATGGTTTTAGTTAGTAATACTTTGCCACAAGGTCAGTCCTGGCTTGCTATCAACATGGAGGCTGTTATCTCCATCACCCAGATAACTAAGAAAAGTCAGTGTGCCCTTTGGCCTCAGCCATGTGCCCAGACGAGTCAAAATAGGCACTTTCCTTTCACTGTGGCTATCTGCATTTTGAACAGCATGTCACTGAAACTGAGGACAGATTTACTTTCAGAACTTTGGGGATGCAGTAGTCCTCACCCTAGAAACTGAATCTCAGACAAATCCAGGGAACTTCTCCAAAATGTCCATCATCAAAGCAGCATGCCAAGCACTGGCATGAAACACCGTGACTTGGAAGTCATCCTGCAGCATTATTTTGTGAATCATTATGTGAGAAAATAAGTACAACGAACAATAAATAATCATATCTTAAAATGCACTGACTTTAAAGATAGCAGAAATAACTCAGCAAAAAGACAGCAAAATTTCAGAGGTCAGAAGGGTCTGCAGGGTCTCTCTCACTGTGGAATCAGAGCACTTGTTAAAATCTGCAGATGCATTGGTAGCTCCTTCCTACCTTAAATACATTGATGGGCAGGTCAATGACCACATAGATGAGGTCTCCCAGGGCGAGGCTGGCTATCAGCGCGTTAGGGCCGTTTCTCATGCATTTGTTCTGGTAAATGATCCTCAGCAGGGTTGCGTTGCCTACCATTCCCACGATGAAGATGGAGCAAGACATCACAGTGGTGATGTACTTGAAGGCTGAAGTCATCGTAGTCTGCTGGGGGCAATAGCTGTGCATTGAGCCATTGCTGGGCAGGGCCAGATCCGTGGGTCTATGAGTGGCGACAGGGAAATGGGGATCTGTCCCATGCAGAGTGGTGAAGTCATCCACCTGATTGCTCAGATTTGTGCTGTATCTCTCAGGGTTGTCACCTATGGCACAACCAACCAGTGCCAGCCAAAAGGACGCCCTGAGGCAACAGGCTGCCATCTTGGAGCAAATTTGAAGAACTATTTTATTGTGTTGCTTTTATAATTTTCTTTTTTACACCTGGAAAAGTAAAGGAGAACAAAGTATTTTTGTTACAAAATCCAGCAGTCAAAATGATTTTAGTTAATGACTACTTAGTGCTCTTATTAAAATGTAGAATATATTTGGTGATTAGATAAAATAGGTCTATATCAGGGGATCCCATGACAGAACAAAACTAGCAAAGCCAGAAGATCAGCAGGATGTGGTGACAGAGTCTGTAATTCTAATAGCTGGGGGCTGAGCAGGAGGATCTCAAGTTCCAGACCAGCTTGAGCTGCATGGTGAGACCATCTCAAAAACCAAAACCAAACCAGACCAAACCCAAAAAACAGCAATAAACAAAAAGAAAGAAAAAGAAAAAAAAGAGCAAATATTGGTTAGGGCAAGATTTCTCATCTGTCTCTGTCAGCTACACTTAAACCTAGATCATACTATGGATAAGCACATGTCAGTTTTCCTATAAAGCAGTAGCTTTTTTTCTTCACCCAAGCTGATGAGAACCTGAATTGTGAAAATCTTCCAGAGTTGAGATATAAAACTGAGTATAAGTTGCATAGTATTGAGGCATAAAATAAAATTGCTGAAATCTGTAAATAAAAATTCAATATTCAGGGCTGGGAGCATGACTCAAGTGGTAGAGTAACTCCTTAGCAAGTGTGAGGTCCTGAGTTCGAATCCCAGTACCACCAAGCAAAAAATTCAATATTCCAAAATATGTACTACTTTGCACATGGAAAATAATAACCTCAGGAGTGGAGTCCAGCTCAGGGAGCCATCAAAAGTGTTACAAATGTTCATTTAAAACTAGAACTCTGGTTAACACCATCAGTATATTTAATAATCTTCCTTTCAATCAAAAATGGGGCTGGGGATGTAGTTCAGTGATAGAGGGTTTGTCTTGCATGCATGAGGTCCTGGGTTCAATTTCTCACAGTGCCAACAGGCAAACGAAAATTATATGTAAAACTGATAAGACAAAAAATTTATTCTGAAAGCCCTGATGATTTGTGTGTAAAATCTACATCTTTTAACAGGAGTTTTTGGCTGTCCCATGTACTGGAAATTATCATATTTGTCATGAGTGCAGTGTGGGTGAGGGACATTCCCAGGCTAGTTGCACTGTTTGGTTTTCCAGGGGCTGACTGTCCCCTGCTCTCTGTTAAGCACCCTGTGTAGTTATGGCGACTGCGTGCCCAGCAGTCGCCATAACTGAATACTTGCTCTGCGTATTGTCTTCTAACCATGTGAGGGTCCTGGGAGGTAAATCAGGTTCCCTTAGGAAGACCGGGAAACAGACGAGGGCAGTCTAAGTAGTTTGCCTAAGTCACATATGGTGGCAATGCTGCAATTCCTTTCTTCCTTCTTTCCTTTCTTCCTCTCTGTCTCTCTCTTTTTGTTTTTCAGCAGTACTGGGATTTGAACTTAGGGCTAGGAAGCGCTTTACCATTTGAGCCACGCCCCCCCAGCCCTTTTTGCTTTAGTTTACTTACTTTTTAGATAGGGTCTCATGCTTTTTGATCAGGGCTGGCCTTCCATTTACACTTCCAGTGTAGCTGAGATTGCACATGTGACCCACCATGCCTGGCTTGTTAGCTGAGATGGGGGGGCGGGGTGTCTCATTTTCCCCTGCAGGCTGGCCTGGAATCAGGATTATCTTGATCTCTGCCTCCCAAGTAGTTGGGATTATAGATGTAAGCCACCGAACCTAGCCACAACACGATAATTCTAAGGCAGCTGAGTCCAACTCTGAGCCAGAGCTCTTAACCACTAGGCTATCCTCCTTTATTTATAGCTACAACATCTTAAAGAAGTTTCCAGAGTTTAGATGAAGCAACAGCCTTCATCTGGGAAGGGTGCGTAGACATTTTCAAAAGGCCACTTGGTGATTTTTCTACTCACTTGTAAAAAGCAAGTGGTCTTCCTTGTCCAGCAATCTAGATTTCTCATTTATTACAGAAAGATAAGACACTGGGGAAATGAGGAAGGTTGGTGGCGACAGTATAACCAGGCAAAGGTAAATAAAGTGCTCCTCTCATTTCAATATCTTGCACATTTCCTTTTTCTGAGGGCTTTCATTAATCTTTAAACGATGACCAGTGACATAGACACCTAGGTCTTAATTTCATTTTTAAACATTTGTGTCCTTTTTCCGAGTCTGTTCAAGGTAGCTATTGATCACTTTTAGGAAGTTTGATAGCTGGCATGGGAAATCACCAAACTTAGAATTAGTCAGTATGTGTACAGAATAAGAAAGACAGAAGTTGTACAGAAGGTGTAAGGTTTTAAATGCCTTCTCTTGAGACTTCCCCCAGCATCCAGAAACAACAACAGCTTTTTCCATCCAGTACCTTATATATAAATCTATTAATCTGTCTTGAGCTTTATAACTGGAGGCAGGCAGGAGCAATATCCCCATTTGACTAGAGAGAAACTGAGTCTTGAAGAAGTGCTAGCTGGACGCAAGTGTCTCACGCCTGTCATCCTAGCTACTTGAGAGGCTGAGATCTAGGAGAATCGTGGATCGAGACTGGCCCAGGCAAATAGTTCTCGAGACCCCATCTCCAAACAATGGGAGAAAAATGGGCTGGAGACGTAGCTCAAGCAATAGTGCTCCAGCTTTGCAACCACAAAGCCCCGAGTACAAACCCCAGTCCCACCCAACAACAACAACAACAACAACAAAGAGTCTTGGTTATGTCAAGATTTCATAACCAAGAAGTGGCAAGGCCATTATTGTACCTTACAACCTGGTTACAGGCCTTCACTTACTCTAATTAGATGATAAAAACAAAATCAGTTCTTCAAAGGTAGGACGGGCCTTGTCCCTGTCAGGTCAGCCTCACCTTACTGATAAGGAATTTGCAGTGTTTCCTGACTCTTACAGTCTGAATATCTCCATTCCAAAGTGGAAGCCAGGATAAGGCTTAACACCATCCTCCTCTGTGGATCACAAAGAGGGCAGAAAAGAAATTCTTCAATATCTTGTGCCTTTTCAGTGACTAAAGACTTCCAGTTCTCCAACTGGAATGGAATATTCAGTAATAGTTTTCTTAAAAATGAAAGAGGCCTGTTCCAGAAACGGAACATCCCTGTCCACTCGAATGAGCTAGGAGGGTGTTTTGTGAACTGACCTGGCTACCATGGGGTTGTGCCACTCGTCAAACGCCCCCCAAGTTGCTTTGAACAGGAGTGTGCTGGTTTGCTTGGTCAAGGCCAAGACTGTGAGTTCTTATCATGGTGTGAGCCAACCATCGTTAAAACCACATTCCTCCCGTCCAACAATGACAGGACCATAGAAATCTCTTGTGATGATACCTCTGTCAGTTTTCTACACACGTTAAGCTGCAAATCTACCAGACATTTGTCAAAGGCATGTGGAGACCATATTGTTATTGAGGGAAAAAAATACAAAATCCAATGAAAGAATGGCTCAAATGTTTGTTCTTCTATAGCTCACACCCATGCGTGGAAGTCAAACTGGCCTTGAATGGTCAGTTCAGTCAAGTCACAGCGCTGGTGAGACACCTCAGGGTGGGGGCTGGAAGACATGCCTATAGACACAGCACTCTTTCCTTTGAGTTCCAAGAGTTTCAGAAAGAGCAAAAGCTATTATCAAGGAAGAGGACTGAATCCTTACGCTTTGCTTTAAGCATTTAAGATAGGGGACTCAGAGGAATAAAGTTCACCTGCAATCAGTAATTTGGAAATTCCAACCTTGGAAAATAGTATGAATGTAGACCAGGTAATTTACATAAAATGACTGCCAAGGTGTGTCTCAATTAGCTAACACTTAAAAAAGGGGAGGTGTGTGTGTAGAACCATAAACAATTACAAGTAGAGAAAAAAACTTTTTCTTACAACTTCTCTGTGGTTTTGCTCTCTGGGTAGGGAATGAGCCACTCCTTGGTGGTATCACCTGACTTTAATGTGCCTACCCGCAGGTCTATCAGGGAAAGCCACTAGGGCAGGGGTAAACAGAGAGTGATAATCGAAAACCAGCCTTATTTTCTGCATCTGAAACTCAACAAGTGCCCTTTAAAGGAATGCTCAGAACTCGACGCCCAGACCTCACACAGGCCGCTTTCCAAAAACGTTTGCAAACGTTGGGTTCTCCCAAAGACATGGGTTCCGCACACCAAGCGCCCTTGGCTACCCTTGGCATAGCCAGGGTGTGTGGGAAAAAGCAAGGGCGGAAAGGCTGCAGGGCCAACTTCCCAAGGACGCTTTGGGGCAAGCCACAAAGATCCTGCGTGCCTGGAATTTAAGGGACCCCAGGGAGACCTGCTGGGCCTCCTTTTCCTAAGACTCCACGTCCCGCCGGGGAAGTGAAGTGCTTCTTCAGCTCTCCAAACTCCTCGGTTCCCGAGCGCACGGCTCCGGGTAGGCGCCCTCCCCGCAGGAGCCTCGGGCAGGTGGGTGCCAGCTCCAGGCGGCGGTGGCCCGAGCTGCGGGACTCAGCCAGAGGGTCCCCGCTGCTCCCAGATCCCATCCTGCCCCAGACCCCAGAAGGAAAGATTTGTACCGACCGTGGAGTTGCGGGCGCAGACAGTCTCCGGGTGCGCGCGGCGCCGGGGCCAGACGGAGCCGAAGCCGGAGCCCCCGCGAGTGGTGGCAGGAGAGTGGCCGCGGGTCCCCACTGCGGGAAACGTCCCGGACAGGGAACGTCTTCCCTGGGAGGTGTCGCCGAGCCCCCAGCTTCTGGCGATGACCCACGCGATGAATGGAGCCTCCCCGGCTCCTCTCCGCGGTCGCCCAGCAGAGGGACGAGTGTGCGCGGCCAGGGTTCGCAGGGAAAGCAAACTCCGCAGGAACCCGCCTCCTGCCTTCCTCCGCTCGGCTTCTCCTCCCTGAGCTCCCTGCCGTCCACTCCACTCCAGACCCGTCTCGACCCGATCCGATCCGATCCGATGCAATCCGATCCTCCCAGTCCTCCCGGGACGGAGTCACTGAAGAGCTCACAGCGGCCGCCCCCTCCAGGCCCCTAAGGACCCGGGACTTTAACTGTTTCCTTCCTGACCTGAAGCCAGGAGTGGGCCCGGAGGGAGGGCACAGCTGAACTCAAGTTCTGAAAGGCTCTGGGGAAAACTCGTGCCCGTGTCCCCTGTCCCCAAGGATGTCCTCTGTCCCCTGCCCCCTTCGTGGGGCCTGTGGACCTCCTCTTCAGTTTTCAGGAAGTTAGGCAGCCCAAGTGGACGGCAGGTTACTGGATGAGTTCAGGCTGTTTGTCTTCCTTTTCTTGAAACCAGCCCCAAAGACCACGCACCTCTCTAGCCCTGTGCAAAGAAGGAGCCTGAGTCTGGAAGGTTCAAGATGTGGGTGAGGCCTCCAGAGAGTTGAAGGGGGATGCAGACCCCGCCCAAGGGGTTCTTTGTCACAGCAGGAAGAGTTTCCTAAGCTGAGGGTGGAAGGGGAGAAGAGGGGCAACTGTTAACTTGTGAGGAAACACTTGGGGGTCCTCAGGGAAGGCCTGCCTGGAGTCCTGCTGAGTGCTCGTGTCTACGTGGAAATGTGAAGCTGGATCTCGGTCACATCGTATCACAGGCTGTTCTTGTTATCTAGTGCAGCTCAACAAGTCACTGTGAAACATCAGGGCTCACAGCCAGTCCCTGACTTTGGGCACAGCTTGTGTGGGACGGTTCAGTTTTGCCCCTGGGACTGGAGCCTACACTTCAGGATAGTTCATTGCTTGGTGTCGTGTGTGAGTTCTTCCTCCGTGCGCCTCTCCACGAGAAAGTAGTTCGGGCTTCCTTAGAGTGTAGTGACTAGGTTCCAGGAATGAGTGTCCCAAGAGACAGGAAGTAGAACCTACCATTTCCTAAGGCCCGGGTGCAGAAACGGGCACAGTGGCACTTGTGTTCAGTTCTGTCAGTCAAGCAGGCAAAGACCCCAGACTCAAGGTGAGAGCGGACAGACCCTGGCTGTCAATGTGAGGAGTGTCAAGGAATTTGGGGACCGTTTTGTAAAGCCATCAAAGAGATCAACAGAATAATAGCACTGTATGGGCCTGAATAATCATTTAGTTCTGTTAGTGCATGTATTAAGCTGTGCCTGTCTCTGTTCTATCAATAGTTTCTTCACAAAGAAGAGTTAACCACCCAGAATAACAGTTTTTATAACTGCCATAGTTTGCATTAAAAAAGGGTGACCCTCTGGGTACATGGCTTAGCAAGCTGACAATATTTTCCGGGAAGAAAAGGGTTGCAGCCTTCTCCCAAGAGAGGCAGCTCACAACTTGGCATGTGAGACATACTGGATCTCAGCTCTTCTCATCCTGTGACCAGACACACTTGTACAGGGTACAGCCTACAAAACAGAACATGTCCGTCTGTCCAGTCCTGGTTAGAATGTACCACTAGCTCTGATAGTGCAACTACTGTGAAAAAACAATATGGCAGTTCTGAAAAACCTTAGCATAAAATTACTATGGGATCTAGCAGTTCCACTTTTGAGTATATATCTAAAATATAGTTTTAGATATATAGGGTTTGGGCTGATGGAGTGGCTCAAGTAGTAGAGTGCCTGCTTAGCCAGCATGAGGCCCTGAGTTCAAACACCAGTGGCACAAAAAAAGTTAAACAAAGTTAAAATATTTAAATAAAGTTAAGATATTTGTACATGCATAGTTACAGCAGCAGTTTTCACAATAGCACAGGCAGAAACACCCAAAATGTTCATTGATGAGTGAATGCGTAAACAAAATGGCATATATACCCAGCGAAATAGTACTCAGTCTTAAAAGAGAATGAAATTCTGCTGGAGATGTAGCTGAGTAGTAGAGTGCTTGCCTACCAGGCACAAAGTCCCAAGTCCCTTCCCCAGCACTGAAAAACAGATGAGATTCTGATACATGCTACAGCATGGATGAACTTTGAAGACCAGACACAAAAGCACACGTTGTTTTCAAAAGAGTAAAATCACAATTTAAAGATCATAATTGACTTTATTTCTGATTCTAAAATTGAGCAACCTTTCCATGGGAACAAGTGTTCCCATGGGCTGAGCAGAAGAGGTTGGTTTTATGGACAGAGAAAGGCTGGAGAAAGCAGAAACAGAGCAAAGAGTGGACTGGTTATTTCAACGTTACTTTCCTTATAATGCCAGGACAGGGAGACAGAAAAATAACTGATTGACTAATGGGTGCTTTATTGTGCCTGTTTTTGTGTAAGAGTTAGGACAGAGGGACTTCCCGTTGTCATACCAATTAAACTGGCCTGTTTGGGGAACTTGATTGTTCTCGCTGATCTGATTTTCTCAGAAGGTCAGACAAATAGCATAGGTTCAGGTTGGTGACATGAACTTTGTCACAAGTGACTCCATTTTGAGTTCAGCTTGGTCTGTTTAGAAGCTTAGTCCAAAACAATGGCCTTTTGTATTTTTGTGGGGGAGGGAGGAGCAGTATTGGGATTTGAACTCAGGGCTTCACACCTGGTAGGCAGGCACTCTACCACTTGACCACACCTCCAGCTCTTTTTACTCTGGTTATTTTGGAGATAGGGTCTCACTTTTTGTCCAGGTCAGCCTGGACCTATCCTCTTATTTTATGGTTCCTGCTGTCTCTGGGATGACAGGTGTGTACCACCATACCCAGCTTTTTTCTTTTGAGATGGGACCTGGCAAACTCCCGGCCCTCTCAAGTGGCCTCTAACCATGATCCTCCAGAACTCAGCCTCCCGAGTAGCTAGGATTACAGGAGCTAGTAGTGTCCAGCTCATTCTGTACTCTTTTTTTTTTGCAGCACTGGGATTTGAACTCAGGGCCTCACACTTGCTAGGCAGGAGCTCTACCATGCGAGTCATATTTAACAGTATGATTCTACTTAGATGAGAGACCTAGAATAGTTAGATAGCAGACAAGTGATTACTGGCGGCGTGGAGAACAGGGACTTACTGTGTAACATGTTTAAGAATTTTAGTTTGGAGTTATGAGAAAGTTCTGGAGGCGGAGGGTGGTGAGGTTTGCCTACAGTTGAATATACTTAATGTCAATAAATTGGGCACTGAAAAGGGTTGAGTAATAAATTTACATTAAGTGTATTTTACCATAATAAAAAAATGTCTCCCTGACATCAAGGTGAAATCTGCCTCCCTATGTTACCTGTTGACCCATCCTCTATGTTCATAAAATTGGTTATAGCCTCTTCTCAGGAGGATCAAATGTAAATAAATGTGTTTGTGTGACTCACCAGTTACACCTGCCTTGTAAGAGATGGAGGCTGCCTCATTCTAGGTGAGCACGACATTCAACATGCCTTCATTGTTGGAGATTTGTCTCATCTTCTCTGCTTTACTTTGGGGAGAATGACTGCAGTGGACTCAAAGCAGTTCTTGGTCAAGTTAACGTCCTCTTCAGTAAGCCCTCTCCCCATAGCCAAGACGGAATGTCCTTGCCCTGCCTCCGTACTCCTTGCTTTGTACTTCCAAAGAGTGTGCAATTAATACATTTGACTAGGTTTTCCAACTTGACTTCCAAAGGCTGTTTCTTTCCCCTATACGCTGGGGGTGGGGGTGGGAGAGGGTGGCACAGATTTGCAGGTTTTCTGGGTCTCTGAGAAACTTTCTCGATCACACTTGACTTCGGGTTCAAGAAGCTCGAGGGGGCATTTCTGTAATGATATTGACAGTGACTTCCCTCAGAAGCACATCACACTGATTTCATGAGCAATAATTGCTCCAGATTAAGGAACACTCAAGCTAGCACTTAAAAGCCAACATTTCATGTGTCTATGGGGCAAACGCTTTTGTGAATTTCAGTTTCTTGACTCAGATTTGCAAATCATTTCACGATTGCTAAGTCCCCAAATCCTCAAACTTGAAATGCAATACAAGTCTAAGTCTCGCAGCATTTTCTAGGAAAGCTGTGTGCATTTTTGAACTCTTTGGGGGAGGTAAAGCAAAAAGGACCCAGAGAAGGGCCACACAATAAAGACAGGGTGGAAAGGTGGCTGTGAGAGGAGACGCAAAGCATGGGGGGAGTGACCTTCAGAGACATGAGACCTAAGACTGTCACTGCAGCCTTGGTACTGGGCAGTATGGTAGCCAAGACTGTTGGCAGTGAACACATTGGTCTGAAGATGAAAAAACAGGCCATGTGAGTTGAAGGTCCATTTTTTTTTGGTGGGACTGGGATATGAACTCAGGACTTCATGCTTTGCTCTATCACTTGACTCACACCTCCGGTCCATTTTGCCTTGTTATTGTGGAGATGGGGGTCTTGTGAACTATTAGCACAAGTTGGTCTCAAACCACGTTCCTTCTGATCTCAGTCTCCTAAGCATCTAGGATTACAAGCATGAGCCACCGACACCTAGCTAAGATCCATCTTTAATTAAAATAGGCTATAGAACTGGAGGTGTGCCTCAAGAGCTCCTGCCTAGCAAGTGTAAAGCCCTGGATTCAAACCTCAGTTCCAGCAAAAAAGAAAAACAAACTAAAAACCAAACTGGCTGTAGGCAGGCTTTATTTATTTATTTATTTTGTATTTTTGACCTTCATTTTTTATTTAAATATAATAATCTTTTAAGAGAATAAACCAAATCAAAACAAATTGACAACAAAACTCTATACAGCAAATACTTTACATAAATGTAAACCTGTATGTCCACTTTCTAATTTAGCATAAATTGGGCACAAGATTT